CTGTGTGATTATAACGCGGTATCAATAAAAATAATCTTTTTTCTCAAGGTTATTTGATAAATGATTTCTTTTCTTTTCTTACTTGAATATGACGTTGTTTAAGTAAAGCATCAAAGCGATTTGCCGAAGGAAAAACTACTTTAATTCCATTCATATGACATTCTGAACGATATCTTTTATCGAGTAACATACTAAATGAATAAAATTTATTGATTGATTTATTTTTATTCAAGAAAATAATTTTACCAAGAAGCTAATGATTTGAAATGAGTGAAGATTTTATCACTCAATTTAAATACTAATTGATCAAAGCATAAATTGACTTCAGCTTCAATTTCATCATATAAAAATTGTTTACGAAATACAAGTAATGCATGCATTGCTGCATCATTATAAAGATCCATTGGATAAAAGACATATCTATTTAAGAAAAAATAAAAAGTTAATCTTTCAATTAAATTTATAATTTTCAATAAAAATTACTCTATCATTGGTTGTTTTATTGATTCTAAGATATGATCCGCTAAAATCCATGGCATTGACATTTCAATTGGAAACTAGGAAAATTTATATGAATAAAAAAAACATGAGATAGAATATTTTTTTACTTGAATTTTTCTTCCCATTGTTAATTCAAGATAAAATTCTCGATACCAAAGTTGACTTAGATCAGCACATTGTTTTAATGTTGCTAAATAAATTAAGATATATTGAGAAAGAATAATGAATAAATATATAAAATTTTTACCATCAAAATTAAGAAGATAATCCCAGAAGAAAGATTGTTTATGGAATTGTTCAATCATTGATAAATGAGTATAATCTAAAGAGATGCGTCAATTAAAAAAATTATGTCTTCCATTTTATTACATAGCATGGAAGAAACAAACGAAACTATCTCCTTATTTTATCTTTGAACTATAAGAATATTTCTATTTTTAAAAAATATATAATTAATTCTTACCGATATCTTTTCTTAATGTTCTTTTTCCATAACCACTTTTATCTGTCAGAAGAGATTCAATCATTGTTCGAACCATATACAACTAAAAATAAAAGCATTTTAAAATCACATATTTCTCTTTTCTTTAATTAATTAATAAAATAAAAAACAATAACATACTTGAGTACTAGATGGACCGACACATCGTTTATTAAATCTAACATTATTTAATTCACCATGATCTTTTTTATTTCCTTGATTTTGACTAAGTTTTAAACCTAATGCAAGTGCTTCTTCGATCGAATTAGCTTCATTACTTCCATTAAAACAATCAACACATGTATCTCTTACTGCAATTAAAATACTAAACAAAAAATACCAAAATTCATCAAAAAACCTAATTTAATGAAAAAATTAAGAGAACCTTTTTGTTAAATCTCGTTTTTTTTGTGTAACTTTCTTGATCATATCTCGTATATGTATTTGAACAAATGATTGTAATTCATTATATGCTGTTGAGCAAATCGCTTCATGAAATGTTTCAGTTAAACGATTCATTTGTAATTGTAAACCTTTAATTAATGAAAGAATTTCAACCATTGCAAATTTTTCTTGACTTGAATAATTATAACGTGTAGCACGTTCATATTCTTCACCATCATCATCATATTTACTTGCACCTTTACGATAATCAGCTGGATGAAGAAGTTTCCAACAATATCTAGAATAAAAAATAATCAATTGTAAAGAATTTCAATAAATTTAGAATTACAATTCAAGAATTGAATTGCTCCATTTTGATAATAATTGAAGACCAGTCAAGGCCATATGATATAAATATTTCATTTCCTGATCAGTACGTTTCATTACTTTTTGTATCGCACCCTGAAAAAAAAAAAGAAATTTTTTTTTTGTAAATTGTAACATGACACTATATTGATAACTAACTTCATTCGTATATCGAGCTAAATCAGCAATAAATCTTTCATGTTCTTCTCGAATTTCTGGTAATTGCATTAAGAGATTTCCTTGCATAGATGATGTTGATGTATCATTACAAACAGGCCATTTACTTGGATCGAAATTAGGAGATTTTTTAATATAATTAAATGGTGCTATTTGCATATCACCATAAAGTGGAACAACTTCAACCGTCTAAAAATAAAAACATTTGATTAATAAACTCCAAGAAAATATTTTGATATATTTAACCTTAAAGATTTTGTCAATTCGACTAACATTGATTTTTTTCTTTCCATCAAGTTTATTGATGTTACATGCCGTTGAATCGATTAGAAATAAGCTAAAACCAATGACCTAAAAATAACAAATATTCATTTATATTTATGACTAAGAATAATATCAAAATATAATATATTCATCTTGCATAGAACTTTATTTTTAATATAAACTTACTTTAACAAGCATATGTTTTTCATTTGGTAATAAATACAATTTATTTTCAAACATATGTACACTTGTATTAACAACATCAGCAAGTAATTCTTCATAACCTATTTACAAGTAAATTAGTAAAATGGATTATAATAGAAATGAAATTACCTTCAATTTGAGCTAATGATGTTTTTAACATAGTTCGAATTTTATCATTAGTAGCTAAGAACATCGATAAATTTTGTGATTCAGTCAAAGCTGTTGAATCACTAATAACTCTTAAAAATTGAGCAGCTCTATGAAGAAGAAGAAGAAAAAATGATCATTTTCATTCAAAATTAGTTTTTGTATACCGTCGATAAGCTGAATAATCATTTTTAACGGATGATTTCATATTTTTTAGTTCATCAAGTACAGCAAACATATTAATAAATTCTCCTAATGTTAATAGATAAGCTTCACTAACAAATTCTTTTCGTTTTTCATGATGACATAAACGTCGAACTTGATTACAAAATGTTTCAACCGCAGTCATCTAAACATATATATATATTTAATAAAACTTCGAAGAAATTCATTTCATACTGAAAAATGCATGATTGCCATTAATTTCGCTACTTCTGGTTGTAATGCTTCAACAGTTTTCTCATAAATTTCAATACGATTTGGTTGTTCAGGTGATTTAACCTATAATATATGAATGAATGAATAAGTATTTATTTATCGAAATATAATAAAATTTTCCACTCCCATTAGAAAAAAAAGTAAGCAGGGAAGTAACATTAGCGCATACACTCGAACTTACAATACGTCGAAAATAAGCTATAGAAATAATTTTACAAATATATTTTATTAAATTATTCTTGAAGCAAAATTAACAAGTTTTACCGTGGGGATAGCTCGTGAACAACAACGCCATGTATAGAGTGTCATTGCATGTTGATAACCTTGTTCAAGAAGAAGACTCTAAATAACAAAAAAAAAACTATGTTTATTCTATATAATATAATAGAGATTTTTATACTAGATTTGAATGTAAAACAGCTTCTTCAATATATTTTGATATTCCAGTAATGTAAGCTGTTTTATCTTCGAAATTCGTGTCAAAGTTAGCTTCATAGACAATGGCATTATTTGCACCTTCGACACTGGGTTGAGAATCGATCAATGGAAGTTCATAAAGAACTTCAACATTGGATAGAGCATCAGACATTGATACTCGAGTATTCATTTTGAGCAACACAAATAAAAATCAGTCAAGATTATGTTGTCAGTCAGCACGTGTTGAACGCCACAACAATAAAATAAGTAGAGTATTTCTTATTGGATAAAGGAAAATTCAATAAAAAAATTGTTTTTTCATAGCGAAAGTAATAAGTGACATCTATTGGATTACTAGCTATAGAAGTTATGACTCGATCGATTCAAATAATAAATATATCTTCATGAGGAAATGAAACAGTAAAAGGTCCTCTACAAAATTTGTATATAGATATGAACAATCTTCATTCTAGCTTCAAAAGTTGGATCTGACAAAAAAAATGCAACGATTGATGAATGAATATGATTTGTCTCTATTTAAATTATTTATACTGTGACTTATTCTTGGTATGGAGGATCCATTACATTTCAGATATTGCTTTTATTGATTCACTATTCCTTTTGAAGTATGAACTAATATTGATTATTAGACTCTCATCACTATGAAAAGAAAGATAAATACCGCCTTTCTATTGAATCAACAGAATAAGTTATGCTTTTCCAAATATCTATTATAAAAATGAAAAATACTCATGCACGGAAACAGTAGTATCATATATGTTAGATCATTATCTTATTTTAAAAATTATTAAATTAAAGATGACACGCATGTCTGCATATGGGCACATTCTAAGTTATAGATACAGTCGTTTGAAAGACTGAAATTAATTAATATTATATATAGATAAATGCAAGCATTTACTTTTTTTTATAATACAATTCATAAATAAATAGAATCCTTACAAAATAAAACATTTTCTTTCTTTTTTTTCGAAAACTTTTATATTCGTTTTATCCGTTATTTTTAACAAAAACATTATTCAATACATTTGTCTACGATTGAACTATAGAAGTATAGTTCGTGTGAATGTATTGATGAACAACTTAATGAAACTACATGTGATTTTACACTAGAATATATTAAATAAAAAAAGTTGATAAAAGTCCACGAAAAAATTTTTTTACTTAAGAAATGACACGAGAGATTATTTTTACTCTTTTGATTTTTTTTCTTTTTTTACATCTCAATAAATCATAGCCAACGAATGTTCTACTTTTCTTTTTTTATTTATTCTTTATTTAATAAGTAATATTTTATTCATACACTGCGTTTTTTTCAAATATTTTACCACCCGTTCTCATTCATCGAACGTACAAAAAAAGAATTATTTTGCTAAAACTTGCTAAAATAATTCTATTGTTTACTTACATAAGTTTGCAGACGATTCTGTTTTTGTTCTATAATACATTATATATAAAAATCATTAGAAACATGTAAATGTTAGCATTCACTTATAGGCATTGTTGTACAAACATATTTTAATTTTTTAATCTTACTTACGTTAGCTAAAAGCATACATACATTAAAAATACAACAAAGTAATAGTATAGAATAAACTGAATGATGGAAGATCGATTTGTAACACGGTAGGTTTAATACATTGTAGATCAATAATATTTTAAAGACGTTATATAAAACTTTTATTACAGACCATTTGCTAATAAAATTGATTCTCGTCTTCAAGCAGTCATTACATCACCATACATACAACCTCAACTTCATTATGCAAAATTGGTATAAAATAATAGCTTAAAGTTTCTGTTTAAAGACTGATTTGCTTAGAGATCTCTCAAATAATTTTTCTTTTGATACATAGATAAATCGTCGTGGTCAGGTTGCTTCGAGTTATGATTATTTGCGTAGTCTGCCTTCTCAGAAGCGTCGACGACAAGAAGCAGTAACACCGGAAACTATTTTACGGTTTGTTATTCCTTTTTACACTTTTGTTTGTTTATTGATATAGATTTTAGTGCTTTCAAAAATGATCAAAATAATCGACTCAATCATTATCATCAAGTTGAGATTGCTTCACGTCGTGCTACTTATAATAGTTTTGAGGTTAGAATAAAAAAAGAATTATAGTATGTTGAATATTCTTCTGTAAAGATTCTCGGTAGACGACATAGAAAACAAGCACACGAAAATGAAAAATCTTGTGAAAAAAGTATTCCCGTTTATTCATCGGTAAGTAAATAATATTATGAATAGAGAAAACGAATTAAATAAATTTTAGAAAGTAGAAAATAATGGTGAACGACAATCCCGAGTAACTTCTGCACGTAGTAGAAAATTAGAAGATAACAAAGATTTAACTGAACCTGAACAAAAACAAAATCATATTGAGCGAGTCAGTCTATCAGATAGTATATTTTAGAATATAATCGTTATCAAAGAAAATAATTTATTTTAGTTCGATAAAGTCGATGTACGTTCTTCTTCAGAACCCCATACATGCGAAATAACAATGTCGTATGGAACACGGAGTATTGTTAATTCTGCAAAACCTGCTCGTAATGAAATTATTGTCTTGCAACAGCTTAGTACTGGCAAAAATTTAGTTATTTATAGAGGTTTTTTAACTGAAGGCGGTAAGTATCGTCATTAATATAGTTATTTCATAATGTATATTTTCCAGAATCCTTCTCATTTAAATCTCAACGACGACCCACATCAGCTTTCGCATTGGCTTTCTATTGCAAAGGATTTATTGATAGTATAGTAAATGATTGTTGTGAATTTGGATATTGTAGAAGAAATCAACATATTAATGAATACAGTCAATTCTCAGTTGTGCGAGTTCAAAATGCCATTCCATGTGAGAAGTAAGTGAAATACTTATTATATAGATATACATTAGATAACTATATTATATTTTTTAGATGTCGTAAAAAATATGCTCAGAAAACACTATCATCGAATAATGTAAGTGAAAAAAAGATCACAAATATAAAAATCAATAGTAGTATTGTTAATTAAAGAGACAAAATTCACAGTCCCATCATAAAGAAAATCGACGTTATTTAACACCAACACCAAACTCTTCAGGTAAAACGAAAGTGTTTATTAGATGAAGAAGTTCATGTATTTTTATATTTACAGTTGGTAATCATGAGAAACGAGACTTAGATTCAAAACAACATCATAGAAATAAAAAAGTGACTTATTCTATTTCTTTTTCGAATGATACAGATATATATATTATATTGTATTACAGATAGTAAAACATAAAAGACATTCAACCGCAATGAACTCAATAAGTGACAATGGTAAGTAATATATCTATCGAGTTAAACAAACCATTTCATTTTTGAAAAATGCTTTTATTTAGTTAAAGAAAAGAAAAGTGAACTACCTGAAGGATATAAACAAAGAACTACAGGTAAAATTTATTATCATAAAAAATTACTATTATAAAAAACTAGAACGATATATTTATGTATAGACAAATCAGAAGTAGTTGGCTTCAGTCTCTTAGAATTAGCATTGGTACATGAAGAAGAACCATCTACACAAAGGATGCAAACAAATTCCGTCTGCTCATCGCTTGTTCCAGAAAACACAGCTAGACATAGCACTGATTTTCTTGGTAAAAAAAATTTGTTATAAGGATTCTTCCAAATAAAACTATTTGTTCATATAGAAGAGAAAATATCACCAACACCATCACAACAGCATCGAGTGATTCAAGAATGGGTGGATCAAATAGAAGCTGATCCATTGGATATTCCTAGATCGACTTATAGTCCTAGTATCACAAATACAGAGAATACCTGTCAGATGTATTCACCTAGTTCATCACAACGTATGTATCTTATTTTTACACAAAATAAATCTTTTCGAGAATCCCTTGAAACAAGTTTTATCTATAATTGTAATGTTTATCTGTTTAGAATTACAAATACACACACATCCAATTCAATCAATCAATGTAATGCGTCATGAAAAAAACGTAGAAAGTTTTATTTATATTCTTGATGGTACTTTACAAATCTCTGATGATGATTTAACAAAACTACGTGGTGTTATAAATTTTGGATTAACGTTTAATAATATTAATGACAAAACATGTATCGAATATGTTAGTCAAGTTATCGATGAACAAATCATTATGATTTTATCCCGAACAAGTGTAAAAAATCTC